TTCACCCTCCGACAGATTCTAGAACATAGGCATTCCTACCGGCGTCCAACAGTCATTATATTTCTTGACCTAAAGGCAGCATTCGACTCTGTCGATCGGGAAGTTCTCTGGAGATGCTTGGCTGTAAAGGGAATTCCAAGAAAATATATTGCACTGATTAAGGCACTCTACTCGTACTCATACAGCCAGGTGAGGGCTTACGGCGAGCTGTCATCTGAACTGATGACGACCAGTGGTGTCCGTCAAGGATGCCCATTATCTCCTTTTCTATTCAACTTCATCATAGATGTGTTAATGGACTTAACCCTAGGTGACTTCAGCGACTCAGGGATTGACTTGCTACCGGGAATAATCTCGTTGACTTGGAATATGCAGACGATATAGTCCTTCTAGGCGAAGACGCTGACGAAATGCAGAGTCTTCTAAACACCTTGAGCCGCAATCTACGAATGTTTGGCATGCGATTCGCTCCCGCCAAATGCAAGATGATGTTACAGGACTGGACTACATCGACGCCTAGTTTAAAAATAGGAAGTGAAGTGGTAGAGCACGTTGACCGCTTCACTTATTTGGGAAGTACCATCAGCCCCAACGGGCTGATCTCTGACGAAATCTCAGCACGAATACAAGGGGCTCGTTTCGCATTTGTTAGTTTACGCCGACTCTGGCGTAGACGAGATGTTCGACTATCGACCAAAGGGCGGGTGTACTGCTCATCAGTCCGCTCCGTCCTCCTTTATGGTTGTGAGACCTGGCCACTGAGAGTGGAAGACATGAAAAGACTAGCTGTCTTTGATCATAGGTGCCTGCGTTCTATTTCCCGTGTAAAGTGGCATAATAAGGTGAGCAACATGGAGGTTAGGCGTAGAGTTCTAGGTAAACAGGGGAAATCAATCGACGAAGTCGTGAAGCTACAAAGACTGAGATGGTTAGGACATGTGTTACGTATGCCAAGCCATCGCCTCCCTCGACGAGCAATGTTAGCGGATATAGGGTCAGGCTGGAAAAAAGCTAGCGGCGGTCAAACAAAAACTTGGCATCAGTCAATGAAATCCACAACAGTTGGTCTAAGCCACGTAGGAAGGTGTAGACTTCCAGGCTGGGGTCCTCGGGACGGTAAAAATCTATGGTTGGAAACAATTGGTGACATGGCTCAAAATCGTTCTCAGTGGCGCAGATGCATCCACTCCCTGTGACTTATGATCTTCAATGAAACTGTTTTGTATTTCTTTATTACTCCTTTGTCTCACACCTCTGCTCACTGTTTCTATTATGCTTTTCTTGTACTTTCTTCTCTTGCTTCGCGTGCTACACGGAATGTGGCGACTTGAACTTCCGCACATTTGTGCAAAGTTCTATGTCGAAAACAGACAGACAGAGCAGACCGTGAGAAAACATGCACCAGGCTGATTCAACAACCAATAACAGCAGACTTAACGTGGCAAAATATGATTGCTAGCCACCATCCACCAATTGTATACTAATTAAATACCCAGACATCGTCGAAGCATCTGCACAAGAAGGCCGACATGTCAACCTGAGACCGAGCACTTCGGTCCAATCAATCGACGGGAAAATCAAAAAATCAATTCAATAATTAATATGACCCGTTGCACAAGAGGTGGCTCTCGTGGCCCAAGTGGTCTAGTGGATAACGCTTTGGCGTTCGAAACTATGGGTACTGGGTTCGAGCCTCGGTGGGAACATCATCACTCACTGAGAAATGCAGGTACATCCAGCTGACGAGTCCCAAATAGGACGAAATGCGCATTCTGGATTCCACTGCTAGCCACCATCCACCAATTGTATACGCAGATAGAGAACTCTATTTTTCGAGGAATTCCGAAGCAACCAATCAGAAGCCTGCGTTTGTCTGCTTAACTTCTGATAAACAACCAATCAGATGACTGCGTTTGTCTACTTGCATAAGCTATAATAATGTAAGTGAAATATATATAAATACGTGTTGATTTTCATAATAAAAGATCTGTTTCCTGGTCCTTGTCTTTTGTTGTTACAGTAGTACTTGACTATCAGTTAATTTTTCTTCGGTTAGAATCCTGTTTCATGTACTTTAATCTGGTTGCCACTGGATAGAACTAAAGGCTCTAATCCTTCCCTACCTACTTCAGCATCATCAACTGGGTAAAACTGAGTAGTTGTGTGGAAGTGATCTGTAAGAAGCCCACAGAGTTTATCATATGGCAGGGGAAATTGGTTTATCTGGAAATGACAAAGTTTTCAGTAGACTGTATGCATCTAGACCGATCGCAGTAATAAAATCAGGTGAAATTTTGTCATCACGAACATTCTTCGACATGCACCATACGTCAAAGCATTCAAGATAATCGGCAATTTCCCGCGGTGAACCATTCATAGGAAACTTTCCAAGATTATTTAATTCCATAGCGATGCCAAAATGTTATAATTATTTGTAATAGTAGTGTGATGAGAGCTGTCTGCTAGCCAAAATTGAAGACAACAATTGACGTCAATGTTTACGTCCCAAATCGGGGTCATGAGGAAAAACAAGAACGAAGCTTAATCTTGAGGAGATCAACAACCAATCACAGAGGACTCAACGTGTGCAAATACGATTCACAGATATATGGCTTAACTTTCTAAGCAAGGGTGACAAGCAGTACAGAATAACCTTTAGCAGCAGCAGCAGGAAAACAACCAATCAGGAGACGTGGCTTCTCTGCTGACAATAGCGCTGTCTGTCTGGGTTCAACATAGAACTTGGCACCGAAGTGCAGAAGTTCGAGTTGCCACGTTCCAATTGGCACACAAGGTAGACAAGAAGATGAGTGAAGAGAATCAATACAGTCTAACAAGTATAAGAGTGAAACAGAATGGGTAATGGTAGAAAGGAATATGAAAGATTACAGAGACTGAATACATCTGCGCCATTGACAACGATTTTGAGCCATGTCACCTATTGTCTCCAGCCATTGATTCCTAGAGTCCCGAGGGCCCCAACCCGGGAGTCTGCATCTCCCTACCTGACCGACTCAGTTTAACTGTCAAGGATTTCATGGATTGATGAGGCCATGTTTTTGTTTGGCCACCAACAATAGCGCTAATAATAATGTACATAAAAATCTATAAATATCTGTTGATCTTCTGAATAAACGATCTGTTTCCTGGACGTTGTCTTCTGTCATTTTACAGCTATAGTAATTAACAGGCACAGACATAACTAAGTAGCGACGGAGTTTATTCAATTCAGTTCAGTTATAACACGTACAATTAGAGTGACTGATAGCATGTTGCATGAGAAACCTTTACTAGGTAAGAAAATTCTAAGCAGCACATATATGATGTCCAACCAGTCAAGTGTGAGGATGGAGTTACCACCGATGACACTAGTTGGCGGTCGAGCTAAAATCACGAATTGGTAGAAGTTAGAAGTCATGCAATGGCCATTGGACCGGGCCCCAGTGGTTTCATACGAGCTTGCCTTGTAACCGAAAAGTCCTGGATTCCAACCCTGTGGGCGTGCGCGCTGATGAAGAGTCCCAAACTAGGACGAAACAGCTATCTAGTACTACTACCATGTTTTCCAATGGTTTTCTAACCGATGTCAGTTCATGATGAAATCATGTAAACAAAAATTATTCTACATTGGAATTGGAGAGACAAATTGATGCGGGCTGGTGAAAGCCCTCGGGAAGCCAGTTAGCTTTTGTATCCTCTATCGATGAAAACAAAAATAAGAATGGGAACATGGAATGTTCAACAAAATGTTGATTTGACTTGACTTTTGCTTCTTCTTCTTCTTCTTCTAACTACTTAAAACTCTTGTATTCGTTTAAAAATTCTTAAGTAATTCCGTATTTTATTTTGTTTTCATGTCCATCCTGAGCACAACTTTTCCATCAAACTCTACATGTTATTAAGTAACTCTTCTCTAACAATCGTTTGTGATAACTCATCACCTCTGCTACTACCCATTTGTATCAACATCCGATTCCTCTGAACGCTATTTGTATTCCGTGACTCCACCAAACACCTACTAATTATATTATTACAATTATTATTTATTATAACTATATATATTTTTGTAAGTATAAATACGACTGTACAACCTCTGAAGGAAGATGATTTCGTTGATAAAGAAAATTTTCTTCGCTGAATCTGTCTCTTATTTTCTTCATGACTCCTCAATAGGTATTTTCGGTGAATTATATTTTCAAGTACTGGTTTTGTAGGGATTTTGTTTAATTGCATGGAGGATTTAATCATGAGCTGACATCAGCCACTGTGCGTCGGTGGCACAATGGTTAGGACTCTCGCCGACCATGCACATAGTCCGGGGTTCGAGCCCACGCCGACGCGCACCTGATATCTATGGTCGGCCTGCGAATTTTGCGCTACCGATATCCACGCTGAAAATTCTACACTTGTCCCAAAAATACGGTGTGGAATCAAGCTGTAATCAAAAATAAAAAAATAAAACCACTGGAAAGCCTACGAGCTCGCCTTGTAACCAGAAGGTCCTGGGTTCAAATCCCGATGGGTGCATACTGCTGAAGAGTCCCAAACTAGGACGAAACAGTTGTCCAGTACTCCCAGGTGGTTTTCCAATGGTTATCTAACTGATGTCAGCTCATGATTAAATCCTCCATGCAATTATATTTTCGTTTGACAAATTTAATGTACACCCACACACACATACACATACGTACAAAATAACCATATACATTTGCGATTGATTGTACAGCTGTGAAAATGAATTTTGTCGAAAAGAGACTGTTCACCGAACTACTGGTCTTTTCTCTCTATTAATGTTCCCAATGGGGATTTTTCATGAATTAAAAAGCCACTAGCAGTATCAAAATATCGAAACGTCAGTAAACACAACAGTGTTGTTTAGTTTTTCATTCATTCATTGGGAAATACAAAAACTTTTGTACTTCAAGAGAGATAATTACATAATAGATATAAAATTTATTTACAAAAATTCAAAAGGAGAAGAAATAATCAAGTAAATCAGCTTAACCAGCATAAGTCAGCTCATAATCACTAAGATTCCATTTATACAAAGCGGTTTGACCTTCTTCCCATAGACTAATTGAACCGTAGATCATTGCTGCGCCTAAACACACTTCCCCGTCATACAATGCACTCCATTGGCCTGGAGCAATACATCGCATTGGCTCAGTTAATTCAACTGCCAAACATGGGCCAGTTGTTCTACTCCCTTCTTCAATAGATGTATCAATAATATTGGCCAGTGCTGCAGAATTATCTATTTGACAATGATGATCTCTTCGTTGAATATCCTGTTTAACATAGGCTGCAGCTGATGAGACATCTTCAAATGGTTTTAAAACACAATTAACTGGACGCCATTTATTTTGCCATTGAAAGTGTATATTTTTTGAGTTTATTAATGAGAATGGATAGGAATTGATCCATACTGCTGGACCACACCAACATTTACGCATAAATAAACTTGGATGAGATGGATCTCGAACCTGAGATTGAAATTCAACAGGAGTTATATCATTATCAAAAAGAAGCACAGACAGATGTTGATGTCAGTAAAACGTTTGAGCATTGTGGAATAGATTAAATAAAAGATAATTATATATTTCAATGGTTTACAAACAATGATAAGTTTTTTTTAAAATTGAATTTTAGATTTTCCCATCGATTGATTGAACCGAAGCGCTCGGTCTCAGGTTGACATACGCATCCTGGATTCCACTGCTAGTCACCATCCACCAATTAAACCTCTAATTACATGCCCAGACATCGTCGAAGCATCTGCACAAGAAGCCGATAGACATGTCAACCTGAGACCGAACACTTCGGTCCAACCAATCCACGGGAAAATCTAAAATTCAATTAAATAATTATTATGACCCGTTGAACAAGAGGTGGCTCTCTTGTGGCGCAAGTGGTCTAGTGGATAACGCTTTGGCTGGTGTTTGAAACTATGGGCACTGGCTTCGAGCCTCAGTGGGAACATCATCATTCACTGTAGAATCCAGGTACATCCAGCTGACTACTCCCGTATAGGACAAAATGAGTCTCGTCCTGGTGTATTCCACTGCTAGTCACCATCCACCAATTAAATGATAAGTTTTTGTTTTTGGTAATATTTCGAGCGAAATTACTGTCCGTGATTATACCCCAACTGTTGGAATTGTTTTGTTTTTAATTCACACATTTATGATTTGTACTCATATACATAGTTCCTTTTTTCTATAGTTTGGTTAATAAGGGTTTATTTTGTTCTTACGAGTTGATCATGGATTGACATCAGTTAGAATTCATGAGTCATCGAAACGGCGACCAGTGGCTGAATGGTCTATGAGCTAGCTTGACTTGTCTCACACCTTTGCTCACTGTTTCTATTATGCTTTTCTTGTACTTTCTTCTCTTGCTTCGCGTGCTACACGGAATGTGGCGACTTGAACTTCCGCACATTTGTGCAAAGTTCTATGTCGAAAACAGACAGACAGACAGACAGCTTGACTTGTAACCGGAAGGTGCTGGGTTCGAACCCTGGTGGTGGGTGTGTACTGCCGATGATTCCCAAACTAGGATGAAACAGCTGCCCAGTACTCCCTACTTACTTACTTACTTTACTTCGGCTATCTCCTACGGGAGGATGAGCCGGCTTCATGAACGTCTCGAATCATCGCTGCCCAGGCGCGGCAATTTGTAAGAGAGTTCATGAAGTTTCATGGGAATTTGGTACGAGTGATGTCCCCAGCATCGCTCGGCCTTTTGTTTGAGAGTGCAGCTCTAGCCTTTACACAACCAAGTGTGACCTACAAGGCAGTAGGAGTGAAGTAAGGAGTCCACTATCCATTGGCAGCCGATGACCGGAGTTCGGTTCATACGCCTTTTTGAATGGGGCCAGACATCCAGGACATCCAACAAGCCATTTGTCCATACGTCTGCCGGTGAGCTCCAGTGAGCTTCATACGCCAATCGTTGGAGGTTTGGAATCAGGGTTTAGCCATCTCCCCTAGACTGTCATCCAATGGACAGTCAACCCGGTGGAGAGCGCCAGGCATCCGCTTTCGCCCTCTCACTTTGGTGAGAAACACCTCCGCCACGTGAAGGCAGTGAGTAGGACTTCCTCAGGAGAGGCTATGTAAGACGCCCGGTCATATGGGATCATTTCAAGAGGTGTGCGGAGGGGTGGTCAACCCGCAGCGCAAGGCACCCACCCCCGACCATCCTGAGGCTTTGGAGGTTTTTAATGGTTTTTAATGGTTCCCTTACTGATATCAATCAGTGATCAACTGATAAAAACAAGACTAACCCTTACAAACCAAACTATAGAAAATAAATTTGATGCTCGCTAGAGATTTGCTACAGGATGGAGTTTCCTGGAGTTCTAGTGAGAAGTCGTGCCAGTAAGGTCCATCCAGATGTCACGTGTGAGGATGGATATCTCACCGACGACAGTGGTTAAGGTTGCGCTAATTCACGAATTGGTAGGAGCTAGAATTCATGAGCCATTGAATAGGATCCCAGTAGCTGAATGGTATACGAGTTCCTTTTTTGCCCATTCATTTTTGTGTATTCAGAATTATATTCCAGGTTGTCGACAGTTGTGCTGCTGAGTCACCCTTGTTACATGTATCCGGTGTGACCTTAATGAATATAGAATCTGTTATGAGTCCCTCTTTCCATATGTTCATATTAGTTTTTTAGAATACAAACATTGTTCCAATCGATATTGTAGTTTTTTTCCCATGCATGTGCAGCTAAAGACAAATTTTGTTTACTGAATTTGTGTAGGCTTGTGTTCCTGTGGGATGACCTTTAGCTAGGCGTTCACGTTCATTCACTCTTATTTTTAGGGGATCTGGACGTTTGACCCACACATATATAGTCGGACACTCGGCACAAGATATTTTGTAAATTACATTGTTTTTATCCATTATTTTTATGGGATCTTACAGTTGATTTATCTTATTTTTAATTAGATTCGTTAGTTTAAACGTGGTGAGAATCGCAATATTTTTGAGGTTTCTTCGAATTTCCTGGCCTCTGATGTACCATTTTGTATTGTATTGTGACTGGGTTTTTTTGCCTTCCTCCTTTTTGTCATTCTCCGGTTTTACCCTTTTTTTTCTCTTTTTTATATCATCTTTGATAAATTCTTCTAGGTATTTTGTTGTCGAGTAACATTTTGAATACGACGTTTATTTCTTTTCAATGGTTGTTTGGTGTTGTTGTGTAAGTCTACGTAAGTCTATCTGCAAGACCCCTCTTATATTATTTCTTATACGGATAACTGTGTCTCTGTCATATAAATTTAGGGTTTCAGAAAATGAGATCGACTAGTGTATGATTTATTTTCATGAAAACAAACTTGGTACATTATGGCCACTAAAAGATGCGCCACACAAAACTTAATAGGTTTTACAAATGCTGGGATACTACTCAAACCTAAACGGGTTGGTTTTCTTAAGGGCCAGCCCCATTTTGAGCCTTTAAGTTGAAGTCTGATCCCCAAGGCAGTGGGTGGAGCAGTGTCAGAAGCTGTATTCCTATGGTTCCGGGTGACTAAAATAGGTTCATACACTACTGGATCCTTTGGAATTCTCGAGCCCATGTACCTCTCCTAGGTAGACTTGGATGTTCACCAGTTCGGTTGTAAGCGCCTCAACGTTCGTATTCGCCCTTCCAATTTTGTAATGCACATTTAGTAAAGATATTAAGGGCAAGTTGAATGAATTACGTCGACCGTTTGTATCCAGGTTGATTGGGAATTCAGAATGTTAAGATTACATAAGTGCATCGGTAGCGCAGCGGTTAGGACTCTCATGGACCATGCACATGGTTCGGGGTTCGATCCCCTACCGACGCACATCTGATATCATTGGTCGGTCTGCAGAATTTGGGCTACCGATATCACATGCTGAAAATCCCATACTTCTACCAAAAAGTACTGTGTGGAATCAAGCTAAAATCAAAATTTTTAAAAGATTTCATTTAAGCGTTTTCTTATATCTTCGGTAGCTGCATTTCAGTAAATTTGAATGCATGGACTGTCATCCAATACGTTGCAACTACAAAATCTGTTCTATTTCCTAAAGTTAAAAAAAAAACAAGTATTGTCACTATGTATGTCACCGCTGATTTCATATATGCTCAAAATTGCTTTCATCGCAGTTAACTTATCCAAATAATAGCTACAATTCCAACGTAAATGAAAGATTATATCCATTTTTCCATAAGACCCCGCAAATCGTTAAATTTTTTTCTCAAGTTTGATGACCGATTGATATCAGTTAAAGAACCACTGGAGACCTGCAGGGACTACTGCCAGACAGCTGTTTCGTCCTACTTTAGGACTCATCGGCAGTACTCACCCACTGGATTCCGAATCCAGGATATTTTGGTAACAAGGCAAGTTTGTAGGCCATTCAGCTACTGGGATCTGACTCAATGCCTAGTGAAAATTAATCTGGTGCTTACTGATGACTGCATGTAGGCAGAAGTTGCTTGGAGTTCAAGTGAGAAGCAGTGACTAGTGGGGTCCATCCATCCGGTAGGGAATGAGGAGAAATACTCGTCACAGAAGACATTGATTGACGTCAGCAACGCTAAAATCATGAATCGGTAGAAGTTAGAATTCACGCACCAGCCAATGAGTCGGGTCCTAGTGGCTTAACCGTCGACGAGCTAGATTAGCTTGTGAACGGAAGGTCCTGGGTCGAAAACCCAGTGGTTGTCTGTCTATCTGTTTTCGAGATAGAACTTTGCACATATGTGCAGCAGTTCAAGTCGCCACTCTCCCTCCATGTAACACACAAAGCGAGTGAAGAAAGTAGAAGAAATGCATATTAGAGACAGTAAACAGAGGTGTGAGACAAAGGAGTAGTAATAACGAAGAACAATATAGTTTTATTGGAAATAATAAGTCCCAAGGAGTGGATGCATCTTCGTTAGCCATTGACAACGAGGATTTTGAGCCACATCACCAATTGTTTCCAGCCTTCATTGGTTTTTACCGTCCCGAGGACCCCAACCAGTCAGGAAGTCTACACCTTCCTACGTGGCTTAGACTAACTGTTGTAGATTTCAGGAAGAAACAGCTGTCTGGCAGTAGTCCCTGCTGGTTTCCAATGGTTCTCTAACTGAGATATCAATCCGTCATTAAACTCGAGAAAAAATCAAATCGCTACAAACAAACTCATGCATATCTCTATTTATTGACGTCAAGGTTTTGAGGTTTGAACTGCTGGCCGCCGCCAACCTTGATACCGAAGACTTTAGTCATTACTTTGTAAGGCATTCTCTCATTGATTTATGTTCCAGGTAAAGTGAAACACGGGGCTTCACGCTTTAGCATTTCATTAGCGCTTGTATTGTTTTTACACATTGTTTTTTTTTCACATTCAATCTTCCCTCTTCTCCAAGTTTACTACTTGAAAAGGGAGGTTCCCGTCGTTAGCCGGGAATCGAACCCTTGACCACATGCATAGTCGGCAATCATACTACCCTTGAACCATCCACGCACATTAAAAGTTATTATACTGATATACAACATAGGCAATAAGGATTTTACTTACTACATAAATTATTTGATTTTTAGGATCCATTTTAGCAACATAATATGGTCCGGTAAAACGTTTGATACGAGCTTTTTGGCCTTGAGTGAAATGATGTACACCTGAAGAAGAAGAAGTGGAAGAGGAAGAATATAAAGTAACAGAGAATCAAATTGACTGAGTTTCAAAGTAAGCACAGAAATTCAGCACTTCAACTTGCTACACTTGTTTGTTACAACAGTAACAATCCAATAACACACAAAAAAGGAATTGCATACAAACACTATTCAAGCGGTTCAGGACTCATTGCAGCACTCCCACCTTAAGGAAAATTGAAGAAAGATATCTCACGGACATCTTCCAAAAGAATGGATATCCACAGAATTACATCAAAAGACATCTACCCCCCAAGCCAACCTATCAAACCAAAAGCCCCAACCAAGGAAAGCACAAAGAAAATCGCCCTACCATACATAAAAAGACATCACAGAAATCACTACAAGACTCTTCATACCTTTAGGAATTGCCGTCACACATAAACCAACAAAATCACTTCATTCATCTGGCTCTATGTCAACCAAAAGACTCAACAACAAAGGAAGATAAAACCAACATCATCAACAAAATAAATTGTAACAACTGCGAAAAACACTACATTGACCAGAGTGGACGCCGTCCCCATTCGTCTTCGTATCCATGAACATAAGCTAGCCGTCAAAAGATATGACATCCGCTCCCTCGCTCATATCGCTGCATACAGACAACCACAGACATCAATTCGACTGGGACAACCAACGTTCAAATATTAGACAGAGGAAACAACACCAAGAATGCTAGAGAATTTTTAAAAGCCTGATATTCCACTGAATCGTCAGTCAGTAGACACACATCGATATAGACAAAATTTACCAATCAATGAGAAGGTAATCTCACACACAAAGGTTTAAACTTAAGGTTAAAGAAACAATCAATTCTAACACAAGTAGTTTAGAAGGTGTGAAAACATACGAAAACAACTATTCACGTTCAAGGTCAGGTGACCAGAAGAGATGGATGATAAACTCGTGGAGGAGAAATCTAAAACCTCACTTCATCAAACTGAAGTATGCACTGAGGTGGGGATGTTATCTAGTAAGGGGCAATGAAAGCTTTGCGAATAAACCATCCAGCTCGGAGAACATAAATACATCAAAATCATCCACGTGAGCTACAATATCTCCATCATATCTAAATAGTATTAGAAACCGCCATATATCAAAAATATGGCATAGAGAATAGACATTTCAACATTAACCCCTGCAGTCCCACAACTTAAAAACAGTGTGCTACAAAGACAAATGATACGAAAGAGTGGCATAAATTGAATAATCTGATAGGGATCTTACGCGTCAAAATAAAAAAAAAATTAAAAAAACAGGTATTGTCGATTAAGAATAAAGAAAGTGAGGCGGGAAAAAGATGGACAATTATGAAAATGCATAATTTACCTGTATGTTCATCCAAGACTAGATTAGTTTCAAGATCTTTAAAGACGCCAGGTTTCGGTTCTAAATACTACAAAAATATGTAAGAGCACAAAAAAGGAAACAATTAGAGATAAGAACAATATTGTAGCAAGTGCTACTGATAAGATTTATCAGCATAGTATCTGAAGTCCTAGGCTCAATAATATTGCGTAGACTAAGTGGTGCTCGCGAGACACAAACACAAGAGAACCAGACAGGCTTTAGACCAGGAAGAGGGTGTATTGATCATATCTTCACCCTCCGACAGATTCTAGAACATAGGCATTCCTACCGGCGCCCAACAATCATTATATTCCTTGACCTAAAGGCAGAATTCGATTCTGTCGACCGATAGGTTCTCTGGAGATGCTTGGCTGTAAAAGGAATCCCGAGTAAGGCACTCTACTCGTACTCGTGCAGCCAGGTGAGTGCTTACGGCGAGTTGTCATCTGAACTGATGACGACTAGTGGTGTCGGTCAAGGATGCCCATTATCCCCTTTTCTATTCAACTTCATCATAGATGTACTAATGAACTTAACCCTAAGTGACTTCAGCGACTCAGGGATTGATCGACTTCTTACCATCAGGGAATAATCTCGTTGACTTAGAATATGCAGACGATATAGTCCTTATAGGCGAGGACGCTGACAAAATCCATCAGAGTCTTCTGAACACCTTGAGCTGCAATCTACGAATGTTTGGTATGTTTGACTTGCGATTCGCTCCAGCCAAATGCAAGATGATGTTACAGGACTTGACCACACTGACTTCTAGATTAGAAATAAGTAGTGAAGTGGTAGAGCACGTTGACCACTTCACTTATTTGGGAAGTACCATCAGTCAGTGCCAACGGGTTGATCTCTGACGGAATTTCAGCAGAGATACAGGGGGCTCGTTTCGCATATGCCAGTTTACGCCGTCTCTGGCGTAGACGTGATATCCGGCTGGCCATCGACCAAAGGGCGTGTGTACTGCTCATCAGTCCGCTCCGTCCTCCTTTAATGCCTGTGAATAAGACCTGGCCATTGAGAGTGGAAGACATGAAAAGATTAGCTGTCTTTGTTCATAGGTGCCTGCGTTCTATCCCCCGTGTAAAGTGGTATAATAAGGTGAGCAATATTGAGGTTAGGAGTCGAGTGGTAGGTAAGGAGGGGAAATCAATCGACGAAGTTGTGAAGTTACATCGACTGAGATGGTTAGGACATGTGTTACGTATGCCTAGTCATCGATCGCCTCAAGCAGTTGTCCCCTGGGCTCTGCGGTCACGCAACCAACTTCCACGGTGTGGGCAGCCGGGAAGTAACAATCGCCCTCACAATCCGAAATGCACACGAAACCTCTCTATTACTCACTCATCTTTGTCTTCATCTTCATCTCTATCATCTTGCCTTCCTTCCACTGATGCAACTCCTCGACTTGATAGCTCTCCACTTCCTCTCCACTCTGCGTCCACTAAAAACGATGGAAGCCAAAAAACCACCACCGACAGCCTCTTAAAGCCGCGCCACCAATTTCATATAGGAGCTCTTAATGTTAGGACACTTTGCCAAATAGGACAACAAGCATCACTAGCCAAGACCCTGGCATCACGAGCCATTGATGTATGCTGTGTTTCAGAAACACGCATACAAGACCCAAGTGTGGTTATTCACCTAACCCCACCTGGCCAACAGGTTGAATCTGCAAAATTCACCTTGAGGGTGTCAGGAGATGCCACAGCTAGTTCACGAGGATTAGCTGGCGTAGGGATAGCTTTGAGTACTAGGGCAGAAAAGACATTGCTTGACTGGATCCCGGTAGATAGCCGAATGTGTGCTGTCCGCCTGAACGGATCAGTAAGAAGGAGGAAGGACTGCACTACTCGCCGATGCCTTTTCGTAATCTCCGCCTACGCCCCCACTGACTGCAGTTCAGATGAAACGAAGGATGAGTTCTACCAAAAGCTGTCTAGTTTGGTGGAAAGGCTAAACGCTCAGACATAGTCGTTCTAGCTGGTGACTTTAACGCTCAAGTAGGGAAATTGTGTCAATCTGAGAAGGATGTCGGTGGCACCTATGGAGCTCCGTGCCAGCGAACCGACAACGGTGACCGTCTCCTACAGTTCTGCTCTGATAATCATTTGTTTCTTGTAAGCACTAACTTTAAACACAAGGAGAGACACTGTTTGACTTGGAGACCCCCTTCATCAAACCAACGCTGGACACAAATAGACCACATAGCAATAAGCTATCGTTGGCGTGGGTCGGTAGGAGATTGTCGCTCCTTCTGGAACACGTGCGTAGATACCGACCATGCACTGGTCCGCGCTCGGGTGTGCTTACGACTGAACGGACGTAGGAAACAGCTGGCGGTAAAACCATCACGTCCCCAGCTCGATCAGGAAACTAAATCCGTATTTCAGGAAGAACTAGCTAAACACATATCTGTGTTCGACAGCTGTGCTCACCCTGAAGAAGCTTGGAAAAATATCCAGGCAGCCATAGATACAGCTGTAAAAGCTGTGAATAAGGTAAACCCAAAGGTGAGTAAAAACCACTGGATCTCCACCGCCTCATCCGAACTGATAGATGCTAGAAGACTTATTCCGGCGAGCTCCGAATTCAATGAGGAGCGAAAGCTGCACAAGAGGAAACTTACGAAAAGTCTCCGCAAGGACCGTGAACAGTGGTGGGCGACAAAAGCCAAAGAGATGGAGAAAGCTTGAGGATAGGCAACACCAGGCAACTCTTTGGACTCATCAGGGAAACGGGTGGGAGAAGACAAATCATTAGTGAGACAATCTCGGAAAAAAATGGCACTATAATTAGCTCACAGGATAGACGACTGGATCGTTGGAAAGAGCATTATGAGGAGCAGTTTAATTTGCCCACAGCCACGCTCAACCTTCCGAGCATCCAACACCTCCCTGAATGGGATATAGATACAGGTCCTCCGTCACTAACTGAGGTTACTAAAGCTGTCACCAATCTGAAACTAGGCAAAGCAGCGGGACCTGATGGAATGACTCCAGAGGTATTTAAGTACGGTGGAGACAGCTTACTGTCCGGATTAACTGAGGTACTAGGCAGCGTCTGGGAATCAGAAGAAGTCCCATCGGGTTGGTGTAAGTCACTGATTATCCCCATATACAAGAAGGGAGACAAGTCTTCCTGTGATAATCACAGAGGGATTAGCTTGACTAATATAGTATCTAAAGTCTTAGGCTCAATAATCATGCGTAGACTGAGTGGTGCTCGGGAAGCACAAACACGAGAGAGCCAGGCAGGCTTTAGACCAGGAAGAGGGTGTATTGATCATATCTTCACCCTCCGACAGATTCTAGAACATAGGCATTCCTACCGGCGTCCAACAGTCATTATATTTCTTGACCTAAAGGCAGCATTCGACTCTGTCGATCGGGAAGTTCTCTGGAGATGCTTGGCTGTAAAGGGAATTCCGAGAAAATATATTGCACTGATTAAGGCACTCTACTCGTACTCATACAGCCAGGTGAGGGCTTACGGCGAGCTGTCATCTGAACTGATGACGACCAGTGGTGTCCGTCAAGGATGCCCATTATCTCCTTTTCTATTCAACTTCATCATAGATGTGTTAATGGACTTAACCCTAGGTGACTTCAGCGACTCAGGGATTGACTTGCTACCTGGGAATAATCTCGTTGACTTGGAATATGCAGACGATATAGTCCTTCTAGGCGAAGACGCTGACGAAATGCAGAGTCTTCTAAACACCTTGAGCCGCAATCTACGAATGTTTGGCATGCGATTCGCTCCCGCCAAATGCAAGATGATGTTACAGGACTGGACTACATCGACGCCTAGTTTAAAAATAGGAAGTGAAGTGGTAGAGCACGTTGACCGCTTCACTTATTTGGGAAGTACCATCAGCCCCAACGGGCTGATCTCTGACGAAATCTCAGCACGAATACAAGGGGCTCGTTTCGCATTTGTTAGTTTACGCCGACTCTGGCGTAGACGAGATGTTCGACTATCGACCAAAGGGCGGGTGTACTGCTCATCAGTCCGCTCCGTCCTCCTTTATGGTTGTGAGACCTGGCCACTGAGAGTGGAAGACATGAAAAGACTAGCTGTCTTTGATCATAGGTGCCTGCGTTCTATTTCCCGTGTAAAGTGGCATAATAAGGTGAGCAACATGGAGGTTAGGCGTAGAGTTCTAGGTAAACAGGGGAAATCAATCGACGAAGTCGTGAAGCTACAAAGACTGAGATGGTTAGGACATGTGTTACGTATGCCAAGCCATCGCCTCCCTCGACGAGCAATGTTAGCGGATATAGGGTCAGGCTGGAAAAAAGCTAGCGGCGGTCAAACAAAAACTTGGCATCAGTCAATGAAATCCACAACAGTTGGTCTAAGCCACGTAGGAAGGTGTAGACTTCCAGGCTGGGGTCCTCGGGACGGTAAAAATCTATGGTTGGAAACAATTGGTGACATGGCTCAAAATCGTTCTCAGTGGCGCAGATGCATCCACTCCTTGTGACTTATGATCTTCAATGAAACTGTTTTGTATTTCTTTATTACTCCTTTGTCTCACACCTCTGCTCACTGTTTCTATTATGCTTTTCTTGTACTTTCTTCTCTTGCTTCGCGTGCTACACGGAATGTGGCGACTTGAACTTCCGCACATTTGTGCAAAGTTCTATGTCGAAAACAGACAGACAGACAGATCGCCTTCCTCGACGAGCAATGTTAGCTGATATAGGGTCAGGCTGGAAAAGAGCTAACGGCGGTCAAACAAAAACATGGCTCCAGTCAATGAAATCTACAACAGTCGGTCTAAGCCACGTAGAAAGGTGTGGACTTCCTGGTTGGGGTCCTCGGGACGATAAAAACCAATGGTTGGAAAAAATTGGTGATATGGCTCAAAATCGTTCTTAATGACTGGCGCAGATGCATCTACTTATGACTTATGATTTCCAATGAAACTATATTGTTCTTCGTTATTACTATTCCTTTGTCTCACACCTCAACTTACTGTCTATTATGGATTTCTTCTACTTTCTTCTCTTACTTTGTGTGGTACATGGAGGGAGTGTGGCGACTTGAACTGCCACACACCGGTGCAAAGTTCTATGTCGAAAACATACAGACAGATTTATCAGTAGTATATAAAGAGACATTCATCAGCTGGCATAAAAACATCAAATATCAAGGAGATACATTTGATGTCAGAGAAGCCAAATGGCACATCGTTGTAGACATACATGGAAGACATGAAAAGAACACAAATTAACACAATATGAAGGCTAAAAGTACCACAACACGAATGTCTGTGCAAATGGTGCATATTTTGGCTATATAGAGATACCACTCCCCAAGTCTTCGCCTTCTACCGTTTTAGTATGAGGGAACACCACATACCGTCAAAACTGTAAAGGAAAATGTAGGAACTTCATACATACATCCTTCTTTATGAATTTGAATAAAGCAAGGACAACAGTTTGTGCAGAATAAGATGGTACCATCGACAGAGCTTTCGATTCCCACTTGGTTTGGGAATATTCTTCTTGACTCCAAGTAATTGTTTTGTATTCAAAAACCTATACTGCCTGTATAGCTGCTTCACTCGACTGTTGAGAATTATAACGACCAAGTTTATTCGGTTACTGTTTGAACGCGGCTGTGTGCCAATTAAACTGCTTCTCAAAGTGTTCTTTCCAAAAGTTCCAATCGTCTATCCTGAGAGTTAATTATGGTGCCATTTTTGTTTTTCTCAGAGATTGTTTCGCTTATCATTTGTCTTTTACTACCTATTGCCCTGATAAGTCTAAATAGTTGTCTATAGTATTACCGATCGCTGATGCCTTTTCCATCTCTTTCGCTTTTGTCGCCAACCACTCACGGTTGACGGTCTTTGCGAAGACTTTCAAAGGTATCTAATTGGTGTTAGTCCTTAACGAATTTTAACAATTGAAATTCAGTGGATCAGCTAAGCCACACACACACACACACAGACAGACACAAATAGACTCTTTTTTAACCTAATTTTAAGAAATTATCTATAAATCACAGAATACAATCAAAAACTTACATTGTCAATAAAATCTGAAAACCGTCTTTTCCCAATGAAGCACATACCCATACTCTAAAAAAACAAACAAAAGGAACACGTAAAATATTGTATAATACGAGGATGAAAAGGCAAGGAAATATATTTTTCAACGACCACCTTCAATCGCATACAGTTGGGATTGTGTGTGGGCTAGTGATCCTACTCAGCTGCCCGAACCTTGGCAGGTGAAACAGGACAGAAAACCGTTACTTACTTATTGATTTGAAGTCTAGTACATAAACCAGTGTGCCATCACAGCTCCTACCAACAATATGAAGTATTTAATTGTTGATTCGAGCCATGTAGAGAGGTATCAACCACCTGACCCGAGTCCTTAAGATGTTAAAAAAATAAACATTGGTGTGAGACTATTTGTGACATGGTACAAATGTGATCTTTTAGATTCTGAAAGATGTAATCAACCTTCAGTTAATTATTTCCTCCCATGTATAAATTGTCACCTGTCACTAATGACACTTCGAATAAACTACACACCTTCATCAACAGCTGTCTTCGCTCAATACCACTAAAGATCAGATGGCCGGCCAGAAAAGATCAGCAATAGTGAGGGATCTCTGAGAGCGAACCAACCCAACAGAAACCAATTGTGCAACAAATATGCAAGAAGAAATGGAGGTGGATTGGATTGGCCATACTCTGAGAAAACAAACCATCAAGTGAATGACATCGCACGACAGGCCATCGTTCGAATGGGAAACGGCGAGTTGGTCCTCAGTGCGAGGGTGGGGTGACGTGGAGGAGGTGATGTGAAGAGGAGATGAAGGCATGTGGGCAGACTTGGAGCTAGGTGAAAACGTTGGCAGAGAACCGAAAGCAATGGAGACGTGCGGCTGAAGCCTTATGTCCCTCTAGGAATTGAAGGAAACAATATTAATGATAATAAATTTTTACCTATTATAGTCTCAAATTACGTTCCTTTTTTTCTCTAGTGTATAGTATTTCAAAGTGTATCAACTTGAAAGGCATGCACTTTTATGCAAAAGTTCCACACTGATGACGATAATGATGATAAATCTTCACACAATTTAGGCATACACAATTCAGGTGAACAATATATAGACGTGATCCAGTGTTGAGTCACATGGATGATAAACACATCTGTACGTTTTACGATTAGCAAATATTTAAAACAGTTAGTTCCCTTTATGAATTTAGATAAAGCAATAAGATGACATGATTTCTCTGAATCGTGTAATGTGCATCCGCGCAACACTTATTTCGAACAATCTGATCACATACGGACTTGTCATAGGAATATATATGAAATTCGTGAGGAGTTAAGTGGTGAGAAAACAGACTTAGATCAGGTTAAAACGAAATATTGAAGGTTAAAATAACAATGACGATCACTAAACCGAATAAGAGAGATAATAAATAGTGCACCTCCCCGGGCTGGTGTCAAAACAAAGTTTACCAAGGAAGGTAGGTTTAGTGTGATGACGAATGGTTGCTTTGAACGCATAAAGGTGGTTTAAACTTTCTAATTGTCAGCTAGGGCTTCCATAAACTTTAGGATACGCCCCAAACACGTTTAAAAGATCTGTTAAGGACAGGACATAAGACTGATGTTTACGTTTTGTTTTAATAGCATAGCAGATGTACTATTGCCTCTGCTATTTGGTTTACTAGTTGATCTTCATTATTTTGACCTTCAATATGTCCTTTTAACTTGACCTAAGTCTATTTTCTCACCTCTTAAGTCTTTATTAATTTCATATATATTCCTATGACAAGTCTGTATGTGATCAAATTGCTCGAAATGTGTTACGCAAATACATTACACACACGATTCAGACAAATTACGTCTTCTTATTAGTAAATAGCTATAATACCTACAGTAGACACCATAACATGATTTGATTCATGAAAATATGGCGAGACCTAAGAAATAAATGTGATTATTAAGTTTAATTTGAACTTTCGCGTTGGTGGATTCGACCAAAGTGCTCGGCGTCAAGTTAACATGTCGGTTCCCACCGAGGCTGGAACCCAGTGCCCAAATTTTCAAACGCCAAAGTGTTATCCACTAGACCACTTGGGCCATGAGAGCCACCTCTCTTCTACAATGGGTTTTATTTATTATTTATTTCAATTTAGATTTCCCCATCGATTGATCCGGCAGAAATGCTCGATCTCAGGTTGACATATCAGCTGTTAGTCACAATAACGCTTTGGCTTTTGAAACTATGGGCACTAAATTCGGGCCTCAGTGGGAACACCACCACTCACTGGAGAATGCAGGTACATCCAGTTAGTTGACGAGTCCCGGACAGGACGAAATGTGCCTTGTCCTGGACTTCACTACTAATTACCATCCACTAATTTACTTCAAGTTACATGACCAGATGTCGTTGAAGCATCTGCACAAGGAGCCGACATGTCAACCTGAGACTCAGCACTTCGGTCCAATTAATCGATGGGAAAATTTAAATTGAATTAAATAATTGTAAAAATATTTTATTTTGAAATTCGAAAACAGTGTGGATGTTAAACATAAGTGAAAGCCTAATATTACTTCATGTGCACTGGTTAGAGACTGTTGCTTATATAGTTTTAAACACGCTATCAACGGTGAAGATGCAGTTACTCCTTGTGATCTCCAATATCCACTAAACTCTAACGTTTTTTCCATGTCACTATTCATTCTTTCACACATTTTTCCTCACTATAATTCCTCTGAGCATCGTGTTTTTTTTCTCTTTTATCTTCCTTAGTGTAACAACTTGAAATGCTTCACTTCTGTGTAAAGTTCTATGTTCAAAACTCAGTCAGTATGTCAGATATTTCGAGAAGGACTACCGAATTCGACTTCGCAATCTGAACGCCCTGGGATTCAATCGCTTGTGGGATTAGGAGTTACGCACTGTCGAACAGTCCCCAACTAGGACGAAACAACAATCCAGTGCCTCCTGGTTTTCAATTTTTTTCTACTCATTGTATGTAAATATTTATTATAGAGATACTTGTAATTAATAGGTGACAGCTGAAGATGAAATTAAGATTTGCCTCAAGGTGATATTCAAACGAGTAATCTCCCAATTACTATCCTAACACTTCACTGAATGACTAACGACACTAAGCTGCTAACACTTGAGATTACTAGTGATTAATATCGTCAGCTTTGAGCTATAAATGTGAGCCAATATGCATTACACCAACGACACCTATAATATCTGGTACAATGCATAGTCGGTGTTATGATACTTCCTAGTTTCTTCACGTTGGTATATAGTAACTGGGCGCTCTTCACCGGGTTGACTGTCCATTGGATGACAGTATAGGGGAGATGGCTAAACCCTGATTCCAAACCTCCAACGACTGACGTATGAAGCTCACCGGAGCTCACCGGCAGACGTGGATGTCTGGCCCCATTCAAAAAGGCGTATGAACCGGACTCCGGTCACCGGTTGCCAATGGATAGTGGACTCCCTACTCCACTCCTATTGCCTTGTAGGTCACACTTGGTTGTGTAAAGGCTAGAGCTGCACTCTCAAACAAAAGGCCGAGCGATCCTGGCGACATCACTCGTACCTAATTCCCATGAAACTTCATGAACTCTCTACAACATCAACCAAATTCCAGTATTGGTCCAACAACGTCGCCTTCGGTGGTTTGGCCATGTTCTGCGCCGACCAGACGACGATCTGGTCAAATCAGTTCTGAATCCCTCGCCATCTCCATCTTGGCGATGTCGCAGGGGTGGACAGCTGAAAACATGGCTTGGTACAGTCAAGGCTGGGGCTAAAAACCGTCTACGGACTCCGTCTGTGGAACCAGAATTGGATAACGCTGTCGCAAAACCTTGCATCAGATCGCCGCGCCTGGGCAGCGATGATTCGAGATGTTCATGAAGCCGGCTCATCCTCCCGTAGGAGATAGCCAAAGTAAAGTAGTATCACACAGTGAGTGGAACAGTATCATTATTTACTGGATGATGTTTCGAACAAAATTTATTGTTCATAACCATTTCATCAGGTGTAATCACACGACTTCGAAACTTGAGTTTTATAGTTTTCTTTGTTCTCTGCTATTCATCGTCTTCGGGGCAATAGAATTTTCCAGATATCTAGATGGAGAGGTGTTAAATCATTCCGATTACATGTATTCTCTCTCAGTTGATTCGGTAAACAAAGCTTCTCTTATCAGTCTCTCCCTCCACGCTGATGTCACTATAGATTTGAAAATTCTTATCTTATCCCATCCATCCTACTGTATGGTTATCTGTAATTGCATGTAGTGGGTGGTGTAGCTGAACTATTCTCTAGATTTCTTATCCTATTTGGGCCAACTAATCTAGATTTAGCTGCTAGGTTGTTATACCCAGCTAGTCTCACTGCGAACAAATGGTGCTCTTTTCGATTACTGAGCTACATTTCCCTACTTTCATAAAAACTCTTGTTTCTGTAGAATTTCAGGCCAAGAGTTTGTGGAAATTATTACAATTATTTACCTTTCGAACACTGAATCTGTGGATATAATCTTATTGACAGATAATTGTGAAGTCAGTGCTACTATACGGATCAGAGACTTGGCGCGTCATAAAGAGCATCTCAAACAAACTTCAGACCTTCATTAACAGTTGTCTTCGCTCAATACTAATCAAGATCAGATGGCCGGACAGAAAAGATCAGCAACAGAGATCTCTGGCAATGAGCGAACCAACCAGGAACCGATTACGAAACAAATAGCCAGGAAGAAATGGAGATGGATTGGCCATACTCTGAGGAAACCATCGAATGAGTGACATCACTAGACAGGCCCTCGAGTGGAAACCGAAAGGGAAGCGGCGAGTCGGTCGTCCAAGCGTGACTTGGAGGAGGTCATGTGAAGAGGAAATGAAAGCATGTGGGCAGACTTGGAGCGGAGTGAAAAAGTTGGCAGAAAACCGAAGACAATGGAGATGCGTGGCTGAAGCCCTATGTTCCTCTAGGAATTAAAGGATATAATAATAATAAACAGTTTCACTGCACCTGTTATACTACTTTAACCTACGTATTTCACCTGACAACCATTTCAGGCAGGGTATTAGATAAACTAAATTGTTTTGTTTCAAAGGCTTCACAGGATTGATCCTTTAACCAACAAAGCTTGTTTTTAATTGAGTTTGTGGTTGGTTTGAATTCTAGCCACTTTTATTCCTGTTTGTGTTGTTAAGAATTCTCCGTAATGTAGTAGAACAGGGGCAGTTAGTCAAACTAGCAGCTCAATCTAGATTAGTTGACCCGAATAAGATAAGAAATCTAGAGAATAGTTCAGCTACACCACCCACTACATGCAATTACAGATAACCATACAGTAGGATGGATGGGATAAGATAAGAATTTTCAAATCTATAGTGACATCAGCGTGGAGGGAGAGACTGATAAGAGAAGCTTTGTTTACCGAATCAACTGAGAGAGAATACATGTAATCGGAATGATTCAACACCTCTCCATCTAGATATCTGGAAAATTCTACTACCCCGAAGACGACGAATAGCAGAGAACAAAGAAAACTATAAAACTCAAGTTTCGAAGTCGTTTGGTTACACTTGATGAAATGGTTATGAACAATAAATTTTGTTCGAAACATCGTCCAGTAAATAAAACTGCTTCATTCACTGTGTAACACATTTAATTAAGAAGCTAATATCGAATTACTTACTACCACAGTGCCCAAGTTTTACGCATGTATTAATACAACACTTGAATATCAATGAGATGCTCACTAGTGACTGGCCCTATTCAGATAGGTAGTCACCTAGGGTTCTAGTGGGAAGTCGTGACCAGTAGAATATAGCAGGTCGGGCGTGAGGACAAATACTTGCCGAAGACATTGACTATTGGTCGCACTGTGTCATGCGTGAATTGGGAGAAGTTGGAGTTCATGCAATGGCCATCGGTCTTAATGGTCTACGAGCTAGCTCGCCTTGTAACCAGAAGGTCCTGGGTTCGAACACCCCACCTTGTGGTGGTGCGCACTGCTGAAGAGTCCCAAGCTAGGACGAAGGAACTGTCCCGTACTCCCAGCTAGTTTTCCAATGGTTTTCTAACCAATGTCAGCTCATGATGAAATCTTGTAAAAAAACATAAGGAGTTTAACAAAAAAACTACAAGCAGAAAATAAAACAAAAAAAGATCAATAACAACATACACCTACCTCACGTCTAGAACAAATACGTGAAAGACCAATATCTTGAGCAATTTGTTTCACTTGAGGCTTTGATAGATCCCCAACAGGAAACATACAATGTTGAAGTTCTTTATGAGAAATCTAAAATATAGTCAATAAAATAAAACTGTTACGTAGTTGATTCATTTTGGAAAGTTGCATCAGCCCCCAATGTACTGATTGCTGACAAAATTTCAATGCATATACAAAAGATTCATGTGGTCATTAACCAAACGCGATATCTGGGTACGTATTAAACAACGTCTGTATTCCGCAACAATTTTCTTTGTCGTTCTTTATGTCATAACCATTGAAAGTGGAAGATATGAAAACCATAGGCATCTTTGAACACAGGCGTCTGTGTTCTATCTCCCATATTAAGTAGTATATTATGGTGAACAATATTCAGGTGAAGAGTACCGTTAGGAAAGGAAGTCAATTGATAAGGTGGTGAAGGTGAATCGATTGAAATGGCTATAACATGGGTTGCATATGCCAAACACCACCGCCTTCTTCTCGTCGAGCGATCATAGCTGACAAAGGATGGATCAGAGTTAAGTTGTTAAAAACCAAAAGCTCACATCAATCCGTGAAGTAATTTATAGTTGGTTTCAGCTGCGTGAAGAGATATAGACTGCTTGGTTGCAGTCATCGGGGTGCTAAGATCCAACTGCTGGAGACAATTAGTGATATTGTAACGACAGATAATAAGCGCCAGACAACAGATTGTTTATTCAGAAAATCAACAGATATTTATAGAATTTTATGTGCACATTATTATTAGCGGAGAAGCAGCATCTTCTGATTGGTTATTTTCTTGCTCAAGGTTATTCTGTTATCTCTTTGTTGACGTTTCTTAGAAAGTCAGGCCATATATCTGCGAATCGTACTTGCACACGTTGAGTCTGCTGTGATTGGTTGATGAGTTCCTCAAGGTTAAGCTTTGTTATTCTTTTTTTCCTATGACCCCGATTCGAGACGCAAACATTGACGTCAATTGTTGTCTACAATAAGGAATTGCAGACAGCTCACCCCACAATATGACTCATAATCGTTCTCAATGGTGCAGATGCATTCCATTCTTTCTAATCTCCCAAATCTATCAAACCCTCATTTTCTTTCCATGTTACTATTATTTCTGCTGCACATTTCTACTCATCAGAACTCGTTTGAGTTTTTATTTTCTTTCTCCTCTACGACTGTGTGTGCTACATGGAGAAAGTACGGCAACTAGAACCGCAGCACATCTGTGCAAAGTTCTGTACAGAAACCAACCAGTTAGTCAGTCATTTAAACCAATAAGAAAGTGTGTCGAGCGTGGAATACTCGCTGATTACGCAGGTGGTCCGGGTTTAACTCCCAGCTGGCCAACCCACTCTCAAAAACTCACCTAACCGGTGGTAGGCCAGGTTAGGAGAGAAGGTTGGACTTGAAGCCACCAACCCCAACCCTGTAAAAAACAGCACAACTACTGTGGTGAAAGCTGTCTGAAAGACAAAATTATAGACAATTTACATCAATACTTACCTCCCGAATCGGGTCACGAAAAAAAAATAACTTTGAGGGACTCGCCAACCAATCACAGCAGAACTAACGTGTGCAAATACGTTTCACAGATATATGGCTAAACTTTCTAAGCAACGGTCACAAGCAGTACAGAATAACCTTTAGCAAGACAACAACCAATCAGAGGACGTTGCTTCTCCGCTAATAATGACGCTAATAATATTATACATAAAAATTTATAAATATCAGTTGATTTTTTCAATAAACGATCTATTTCCTGGCCCTTGTCTTGTGTCAGTACACTACTATTGAAACCTTTAAGTTCAAGCTTGAAGCCACTTATTTCTTACTCGGAACGCAAAAGCAATCAAAGGAAAATCGATGAGTTACTGCCACATCAGGTTAACACTAACTTAAGTAACTAGAATATATCTCTACACAAGAGATACACACCTGCAGAGCTAACCAACAACAACAGCAACAAAGATGAAAAAAGAGCACAAAACAAACCAAGAACTTATTTAACATACAATACACAACACAAAAACAACTCACACAACTCTTACAGTTGATAACCAAAAGGTTTGATCTTTTACTGGATCAGCAGATCGTAGCAATTTGGCTTCAACATCACTCCTTTTATGCTGTAAATATGCTCCAAAAGAATTTCTACAATAATGACCAGTGGCAATGGCATCAGCTTTTAAACTTGATGACGTTGAAGAATCACCATCACCATTACCACCATCGTTATCCTCATGATTGCCACCTTTTAGTACAGCTTTTGTGAACATATTAAATTTTACAAATCTATTGCATAAAATATCTGGATTCGGTGTAGCTCCTTGTTCATAGGATTTGATTAAGGGTCTAAAGAAATAGATAGTGAGTGAATTAAAAACCAATTTACAGAAATACATAATTCCAATATTCTTTGACAAAATTTTTCTCATAGAACGGTATACCCAAATGTTCACAAATATACTGAGCATCTTGACGATCTTTATCAATAGAACAATCGACTTTTTCATCTAATACATCCCAGTTGGTCATAAATACACCTTTGACTTGAAATCCTAAAATGCATCTTTAGACAAATAATAACAGTGGGGAATGACTTACCCTTCTTTTTTAATAAATATGCAGAAACAGCACTGTCTACACCACCGGACACAGCACACACAACTGAATGAATACACCTGCTACCAGTGGTAACATGAAAAGGAATTACACCGAATCGATAGAATTTACTCGAAATGGTAAACATTCTAGAGAGAAAAAGAAATTGGAATATGGATTAGATGAGAAACAGATCACAAAGTCTAGTATAGAATGATTACGTAACTCAAGAGATATGTATTACATTTGTTGTTTAGAATCAAAAGCATCCCGAACTGGAAAACTGAGGAGTACTCACAAGCAATGGATATCCTAGAAAGTTTATTGAAAGAAACATGACGAAAGAAACTGCTGCTAGGAAAATGATATTGCAAAAAAGACACGGGTTCACGAGGGTTTGGAAGTCAAATGTGATACTGTTACTGGGTGATTAAAAGTCGTCTGTTCAGGTGTATTAAACGCTCTTTTTACACTAAGTCGGTAATATTGCGAAGAATAAACTTCTACTTATATCCACCTATGTGTGCATCTAATCTTCCCCATGCTTCTGTAGACCTTAATACAATGGACGTTGTAAAAGTGTTCTCTGGAAACGTGTAACTGAACACTACCCGGTTTGTTTGATGAAAAGTGACCATGGGATGACGAAGTCATTCATTTTTCATTCACTCTAAAAGTTTATTCTTCCTCCACTTTTGTACAGTCAAAGCTCTTTAGCTATACATGGACAAAAATACAAACTATATAATCAGAAGCATTTTGTTAAACCCCTTGCTTTACCTTAGTTATAGGAATGTTCTTTATTTTGTCGGTTGAATTCATTTCCCTTCAATTTTTCTTCGCCTTTTCTGCTGTTATCATCGTCACACTTTTAATTTTTTGACAAAAATTGACCTATTTTCAAAAGTTTGTTTGTAGGGATATGATTCGTTTCAAGCTTGATCAAACATTGATATCAGTTAGAGGACAATTGAAAGCCAGAAAGGAGTACTGGACAGTTGTTTTGTCCTAGTATGGGACTCATCTTTAGCACGCACCCACTACAGGGGTTCGGACTCAGGACTTTTGTGGTACAAGGCAAGCTGGCAGACGATGAAATCATTAGCACCCAACTCAATGAATTCTAACTTCTACCAATTCGTGAATTTAATCCAACTGGCACTAATTAATGTCACCTCTGGAGAGTATTCGTCCTTACTCCCGACCTGGTGAACCTCACTAATGGTCACCAATTGGCGGATGTTAGGATTCATGGAACACTAGACTGGGTCTCAGTGGCTGAGTTCGAAATCCGAGGCGTACGTACTGTCGAAGAGTCTCACACTAGGCTGACGAAACAATTCTCCAGTACTTCCAGGTTCCCAATGGTTCTCTAACTGATATCAATCCATGATCAAACTGTTTAAAAAGAGTTGGCCTACTTTTAAAATTGCAATACCAATTCATTTATTTAATGATCTTTCAAAATTTTGTAATTTATCCACTTCAACTCTACTGCCTTCATATATCATTTGAATTATTCTTAAAATCCGTATATTGACTAAGCAATTTTCAGTGCCACTTAATTCTGTAATATGATAAATACGACTATACACCTTGAAAGCGTCGGTGGCACCCATATGGTTCGGGGGTCCAGTCCCTGACCGACGCATTCCTTCACCACGTTAAACCAGTAATCAGGCGATGTTTTACACGAACCCACATCTTTAGGTATCAGGGTAAGATACATTGAATGATGGTTATCGATACGACTTAACAACTTTTCCAAGCGATGAGGAGAGACTCGAACCCAACAACTATTGAATGAACTAATGAGTCACAAGAAAAGTGATGCATCGGGTGATACCCTTAACTGAGATGAAAATCTTTTAGAAACACATCGTTTCCATTGACGGTGAGATTAGTATTTACGTGTCACATAATTTAAGCTAACGGACCTAAGCTTTGTTTGTATCCTAATACTCTTGAAGAACAAGGTATATAGAATCTTTTACACTTAAGTATTATCCAAACAGATTTAGTAAAAACTATTCCAATTTATCACACAGAGGTTATAGTATCACAGTTGTGGTCACCTAAATCGATATAAATGACTGAGTGACTGGTTTCAATATAAAACTTTGCACAGTAGTACAGAAGTTACACTTGCCATATTCCATCCATATATCATACAAACCAAGAGAAGTAAAGAGAGATAAGAAACTGAGGTGTGAGTGAGAGAAAAGAATAGTAACCTGGAGGAACGATACAGTCCCATTGGATATGAGAAATCACAAACAGTGAATGAGTGCATCTGCGCCAACCAGCCGGGAAGTAACAACCACCCACTTCCGAGTGTAGCGACTTGAACTGCCGCACATCGGTGCGAAGTTCTATGTCGAAAACATACAGACAGACATTAACTGTCTCCAGCATTCAATGGTTCTTATCATCCCGAAGACCCCTACCACTCAGGCAGTCTACACCTCCCTACGTGACTGGCTGGCTCAAACTAACTGTTATGAATTTCATTCTTAAGGCCAGGTTTTGGTTTGACCACCACTAGCTCTTTTCCAACCTGATCCATACTATGTTAGTGGCTAAGATTTTCCATTGAGGAAGGCGATGGCTAGGGATGCGTGTATAACACATGTCTTAACAATCCTAATCTATGTAAGTTCACAACCACGTCGATTGACTTTCTCTTTCTACATAACACTAGACGTTTAATTTACATCGATTAAGATGGTTAAGACATGTGTTATACACGCATCCTTAGCCATCGCCTTCCTCGATGGGAAATCTTAGCTGCTGACATAGTATGGATCAGGCTGGAAAAGAGGTAGTGGTCCATGAAAACCTTAACAGTTGGTATGAGCCACATGACGAGATGCAGGCTACCTGGTTAGGTTCCTCGGGATCCTAAGACCCAATTGCTGGAGACAAATGGTGATGTGACTTGAAGTCTTTCCCAAATGCCAAGATGCATTCACTCCTCGTGATTTCTCATATCCACTGAACAGTCACGTGTTCTTATTTTACTATTCTTTCTGCTTATTATTGTTCTGTCGAATCTTTCTTTTGTCTCTCTTCGTGTTCTATATGGAGCGTAGCAACTCGGACTGGTGTACTGTGCAAAGTTCCGTTGAAATCAGTCAACCAGTTAGCCTACCCTAGCAGTGTGCGTCGATGGCACAGTGGTTAGAACTCTCGCCGACCACGCACATGGTCCGGGGTTTGATCCCCCGCCGACGCACACCTGATATCTGTGGTCGGCCTGCGAAATTTGGGCTACCGATATCCATGTTGAAAATTCCATACTTGTGCCAAAAATACAGTGTGGAGTCAAGCTGTAATAAAAAAAATACAACTGTTGCAGTAATTTTGGCTCAAGTTTTGACATCTTACGGTTAACACATGAAAACAATTCCAGAGATGGAAACAAATTATGTGATAAGACTTTAAGAGATGAAATAAGCAGTGGTATAGATGGATGGAATGGTAGAAATGAGTGTAGAAACGACGAGGGAGATAGAGAAGTAATGACTCAGTTTTTCGAAAGACTTTCTATCAACCAAGATATAACCCATAATTAATTTGACCCCCATATTTTTTACTAAAAATATCTTAGAACATGGTGTCACTCGTATTATACTCCCTTCTATGTAAACTCATTGGTAGTTAGCATTTCTTGGATGAGGTTTGCAAGCTTTAGAAATTCAGAACATTTAGGGGAAGTTCTTGCTAGGTTAATGCAGATGAGGTAGAGAAAGGTATCGCAGAGTTCCAAAGGTATAAGGGCAATCCAAACAACTGAAAATGAGACCCCAGATTATATTTAAACTAACCATTTATAAAAATATACCGAATCCGATGGGGTAAAACCATAAGAGCCACCTCCAACAACGACTGAGAAAGCTTAAAATTAACCATGAAGCCATCAGCTACACTCATTAGCATCCGTGTAATACAGGCCTCGCTTTTACGGTTCGCTCTTCATTTGGTTTTATAGTTTTGTTTACATATTGTTTTTTTTAGTTTAGTTTACTTCGGCTATCTCCTACGGGAGGATGAGCCGGCCTCATGGAAATCTCGAATCATCGCTGCCCAGGCACGGCAATCTGATGCAGGGTTTTGCGACAGGGTTATTCAATTCTTGTTCCACAGACGGAGTCCGTAGACGGTTTGTAGCCCCAGCCCAGGCGCTCCATATCAGCCTTGACTGTACCAAGCCATGTTTTCAGCTGTCCACCCCTGCGACATCGCCAAGATGGAGATGGCGAGGGATTTAGAACTGATTTGACCAGATCGTCATCTGGTCGGCGCAGAACATGGAATACTTAGGGAAGAGAATGGATATATATACATATATATATATATATATATATATATATATATATATATACTTACTTTACTTTACTTTACTTCGGCTATCTCCTACGGGAGGATGAGCCGGCTTCATAAACGTCTCGAATCATCGCTGCCCAGGCGCGGCAATTTGTAAGAGAGTTCATGAAGTTTCATGGGAATTTGGTACGAGTGATGTCCCCAGGATCGCTCGGCCTTTTGTTTGAGAGTGCAGCTCTAGCCTTTACACAGCCAAGTGTGACCTACAAGGCAGTAGGAGTGGAGTAAGGAGTCCACTATCCATTGGCAGCCGATGACCGGAGTTCGGTTCATACGCCTTTTTGAATGGGGCCAGACATCCAGGAAAACCAACAAGCCCTTTGTCCATACGTCTGCCGGTGAGCTCCAGTGAGCTTCATACGCCAATCGTTGGAGGTTTGGAATCAGGGTTTAGCCATCTCCCCTAGACTGTCATCCAATGGACAGTCAACCCGGTGGAGAGCGCCGGGCATCCGCTTTCGCCCTCTCACTTTGGTGAGAAACACCTCCGCCACGTGAAGGCAGTGAGTAGGACTTCCTCAGGAGAGGCTATGTAAGACGCCCGGTCATATGGGAGCATTTCAAGAGGTGTGCGGAGGGGTGGCCAACCCGCAGCGCAAGGCACCCACCCCCGACCATATATATATATATTCAGAAATACAGTCTAATTATTCAAACTGACCAGTCTTCATATCGCTTTGCTATTATTAGTTGATAACGAATACTTTGAAAATACTGCCATGCTTCGAATTAGCCGAGAATCCTAGGATTTTAACCGTCACT